ACAAATACGTTACCGACATTGCAATGGCAATGCAAGAAAAAAATAGTTTAACAACAATAAAGATGCTTAATGAAAATACATGAGCTTATAGTTTGACTGAGAACCTGAACATTTTTTACTCGCTTATCGTAATTGTTCTATAAATCTATGCTATGCTAACGCAGTGACAATCATAGCTTCTGTCATGAACTCTAGCAGATATGATAGTGCTTTACTTACGATGGCCATAGAAAACGTTGAGCATCCGCTGCATGCGTTTCGATGAAGCTCTGTGCTATAAAAACGATTCATGCTACAGCTACGATAAAGCTTGGTGGAGTCGCGTAGGACTGTTGTGACATATGGAGAAATTCGTACAGTCAAATTGATTAAACCTACAACGAGATCGTTAATAGCCATGTAAGTTGGTCCAATAATATGGCTTTATTACTCCTACCATTTATAAAATGAGAAATACGCGCCAAAATTTAAAAGTGCTGGCTTGGCGCTTTAATCAGTCCGAAGCTACTAGAGCCTCTAGGTCAGTTCAACCTGCTTGACCAACATCAATAAACTCGTATATTACGCCTTCTGCTACTAGCTAACACACTCTATAGCCTCATATCTACCAGTTGATGGTAGAGAACCCGTTACGGATGCTTTGGTATCGACGTAGTCTTAGGCTTTAACTAGGAGTTGCTAGTTAGACGTTTATGTAAAAGTGAAGGACGCCACCAAAACTTGCAGGTTATTCTGGCTTGGCCATGCCACAGTATGGACCGTTGCAGATAGTCCATATATACGTGTACATGTAACAACGTATTAAACGTTTTCTTTTTCGAGTTTAGATATTTTAAATTTGGTTACAAATTGTAAGTTTGCTGCTATAAATAGATGCGCGTGAAGTCTGTGCAACTCTTGAATCACAACACTTTACAAGCAACTCGTGGAATTGGAGAATATAGGATTACGATGAACTTAGTTTGAAACTAAGATTTTAGCTTATAATCAGCTTTCTGCAATAAAACTATGCTGTATCAAGCAAATTTGCTTCCTTCTCGACCGTAAAAAAAAGTGTAGGCCAATACGATAGGACAAAATTTGAGAACATTGGTCCAGTAGTTGCCGTAAGAGCAGCGCGTCCATTCAACTAACCCCGACAGGAAAGAGGCAACCAGACCTAACACTTAACGTTTTTAGAACACTTTCTGGCGTTTCCCTTCATGTTGCTTGGAGGAAGCCAGAAAGACTTTGCATCGAGGTTGCTTATCTTACCTAGCTGACTCTCCCGGATCTCTGAATTGCATTCCCATAGTTATATGTTTAACCAGGAGTGCAGTAGCTACTTTTTTTTTTTTTTTTTTACCAACTAACACCAACATGATAATTTCGAAATTATTTCGCGATCTGTCTTTATTAACGAACTTTATCAATCTATTGTTAAATTATTAACATACATACATTTCGAAGTGCTTAGAGCCTGCAAGTTGATAAATGAATAATAGTAAAATATCGTATGATTATATTTTATGTGCGTGCAGGGAAAGGCGCCTAAATTCGAATTTTCTTTTACGTTCTTAGAACTAATAACAAACATCTTAATAAAATTTCTTTTTGCATCCGCTTCAAGTGTCGTTTCTGACGGTCATATCTGTTCAATAGCTTTACCATTTATCACGATTACAGTTTTATGTCGAGTTCTAAATAGCTTACAGGCTATTTTAAAATACTCCCTTTGCGACTGCGTGAACATCTTACTCATACCACGAGTGAATAAGTCGACATTGTCATGTTGAGACTTGTTAAATTCTCACTGAACAACGTTCAATACGTAGTAATCCAACGGGCCCGAATCTGGGCCGTTCGGTAGCCATCTGTCCTCATCCCAGAACGTGCTTGTTTACTCATGCAGCTAACCCCACACTAATCGGCTTGTGTAAGCCGGTGCATTATCTCGTTGGGACATCTATAGGTTTCCTTCAGTAACTTCAGCTATCAATAACGTCGCAGCAGTCTGCAAAACATGCAGATAAACTTCTTTACTAATGTATTTACATTTTTGGAAGAGGCACAGTGGTACGATGTCTTCACTCTGAGCATAAATTTCAGCCGAAAATTTGCCTCTACCGACAATCGGGATAGATTGTTAACAAGCCAGCGATCACCTCTGCGGCTCATTGTTCCATTGAGAATGCTGCTTCATTTTCTAGTAGCTTTTAGCTTTATTGTTCTCAGAGAACATCTATCTGACTGTCATAATACGTGACGTATACTTGAAGTTCTCGCGAACAATTTGCGGCATCGTAAATTTTTTCACTGACGCCCTGATCGAACGAATAACTCTGGAACATGTGCTGCTCTCGATCTGTCGTGGATCTTTTTGTGTCGCTGAGCTGGCTGAATCAGCTTTAAAAAGCTGCGACCCTTGATTTCCTATATAGAAAAAACGAAAAAAAATATTATATACACAGTAGTAATATTTAGATCAGTTTCAAACCGGGCTCTAAACACACAGAGTCCAGGGTTTAGCGGATGAAAATTTCACAATGCTAGAGAAGTACCCTACGAGTCAAATTTGCTCTGTAAAATGCACTAGCCTTTAACCAGCCAATAAAAGAACCTCTGATTTAGATATCTGTGACTCCTTAGAATTATTGAGATCGTGCAATTTATTTGGAAGCTTATCGTATCGCGTAACGTATCGCAAATAATGAGTAACTCCTTATTCGTTGTAGAATTGCTATGGCCGCTGTGTGCAATGCTATAAGTAAATGGAAAAAAGTGTCTCATAGGGTTCAACAATGAAAGTGATGTAGCTGGCGCTGCTTATAAGGGCTATAAGCAGTTGGTTTGATAGGACATTGTACTTGATCCTCATCATGTGGCTTATGCAGCTTTAAAACGTGATTTATTGTTGTTCTTTAAAAGGAAAGCTTTCAGAGTTATTACCATTTAAACATAATATGGGAACGTGAGTAAAATTCACGAAGATACTTAATGATGAGACCAATAATGAGTGACAAAATAGAGCGGAGTATAATATAAGAAATATATATGTAAGTAGTTAACAACGCAGAGATTAGCCCATGTGCCAGTACGTTCTCCGCTTCGTGAACCATTTTTTTATTAGGAAAATTAGGAAAGGGTCTTTATTTGCACTCAGTCCAGTTATGGTTTGTACTAAAAATAAGTCTATAAGTATCATCTGCGATACCCATAATCGAACAGGTGTACATTTTTATATAATGCACTGTCGCGCCGGAAACGCAGTTCAAAGGCTTCCACTAAAATTCACTGCAGTTGTGCCTCGCTCTTTTCGAAGAACCTGAGAATGTTTAGATACACTAAGAAAGAGCCGACTGGGAGGACAAAACCGCTGTTCTTACGGTGTTCTAGCGAACAAAAACATCTCTGTGTGTCTGCACATCTGCTCGCACGGTTTGACAATTTATAAAAAAGTAGCCCTCTCCAGGACTTCTTTACGAACCGATCGCGACTACGTTGGTCACTACGGTACAGATAACATGCCCTGTTTCCTTCTGTCTTATCGTACCACCATAATGCCGTGTCGTGCGGTGTTGAACGACGCAACACATACCGCACTTAAGATCGTGATTAGGCAACCAGCCGGCAGGACAAGCAAGGCCGAAGCTGTTACCGCTGCCGGCATGAGCTTTACCGCCTCCTTTCTTTCAGTTGCCTGCTATTCGTTTCATTGTAGAGGGCGCCATCTTTAGGCGAAATTATGAACACGGGATGCTCCAATCCCACTTAGAAAAATCTTTTAGATGTATTTCTTTACTATAAATACCTCTCAAGAAGTGTCTTCGACCCGTCGGCGTTTGCTCCTGGCCTCGCCTGCAGCGATAGGGTGTAAAAGTAGAAAAAAGGAAAGGAAATGTGAGTGGTACAGTGAATGAGGACGCGATACGATGCTGAGCAATTTAGGAGGGCTGAGATTGGAGGCCCTGGGTGCACCAAGAAAGAGGCGGCACATCACTTTTAAGGTAGTCGGAAGATGCGAAATGGGGGTTTAAATTTAAAAAATGACGAATATGTGAAGAAGAAATATTGTACGCAACTGAGCTTTGATATAACATGAGCGTAACAATGCTCTGGGCATATTTTTTCAGTTTAATCGTCTTTAACGCAAAGGTGGTTACTTAGCAAGCGATGCTTGTAAGTGTGCCAGCTCGCTTGCCTATCATACAATGAGATCCAGAGAACCTCGCGGACATCAGTTATCGGCAGAGAAAATAACAGAGATGGCCGTAGCTTCCTGCTGAGTTAACACTGCTCAGGAATAAATAAGTTTATATTAGCGTATTGCGAAGGTTAATCAATGATCGCTCATACTACTGCTACCATGAAGTCGCGCAGTCGTTTGTGGGGACGTTTCGCAGAAGAGGTTACGAGGTGAAGAGGAAAAGCAGCTGAACACTTACGAAAACCGGGACGCAGTTAATAGGATAAAGGAGAAATTTATCTGTGAAGCACACCTACGCTCAATTAATCATGTCGAACATCATATTACAACTCTGCAAACAAGACTATTTTATAGAAATAATACGATAGGCAGACGTCGAATGTAAGTGAGTCGGCTGCAGACCAGCGTTGTACGAATGCATGTTTATAAAAATAAGGGCTAGAAAATAGCGCTTGAAACATTCTGTTAGCGGAATATTTAGCTAAGCGTATTGCTCCGACACACGTCGACGCTAGGGTTTTTTTTGCATTGATCTAGAAACTGTAAACTTGTTTGTTTACGTACTTGTACTGTGTAAATATACATAAATCACATATACGTTATTTTCAATAATGTCATCCAAAGATACGGAGCAAACTACAGCGTAAGTGTTAGATACGTAATAGACGTAAGGTTTGCAGTCAAGACTGGTACATTAGCAAACACGATCATTCATCAGTACGTTTTAGGTTCCATAGACAAACATGGCGTAGGCAGCACGCGAATCATATTAACAAATGTGTCGTTTCTATTTTACGTCAATTCGTTATTTTAGGTGGCTCGCGTTATAAATCCAGTGACATGTAGCCAGTCTTCTCCGAACGTTATGAGTTACCTTAGAGTTCGAGGTGCACAAGGCAAGCGGTAAGTTTTCCAGACATCAAGCAAGCGGCTGCAAGCATAATCTTGTCCTTCTCAGGCTATCTTTTGGCAGCAAGCAGTGATCAAGGCTCAAATTTATCAGGGTTTGAGAACTCATGTAATAAGTGCCTTCTGTTTCATTACTACATGAGCGATATCAGGCATATCCTAGGTGTTATTCCAGTGCTTAGCCTCTTGTATTTCATAATATTATACATATAATGTATATTGGCCATTTAATTACTGTGAGTCATAGCTCTGATGGCCTATTGATACCCTATGTATGTTTGCTGTCGATACTAGCGGAAGCTACGACACGGAATCGAGCTCGACAAGCCAAACACCTCGCGGAAGCTTCCAAACAGAGTCCGCAATTATGCTTTTGACACCGCGTACGAGCCTCGCATTCTCGGAGAATCCGACGCTAAGCTCACGTGCCGGCGTTATTGTATCGTGCGCACGCAGTTCAGCCCGCCGTTCATCAACGGCTTCGGCAGCGGCGGCTTTCGCCGCAGCCACGGCGGGATCTTCGAATCCACCTGAACCATCTCCGCCACAAGGTCCAACAGTGTAAGTATTGCTCAAAGATTTGGTAAACTAACTTTTCGCAGTTAATTAGCCATTTTTTTTTTTTATTAAGTGAATAGATGTTAAAATTTATCAGAGATTCTTGGAAATTCAATTCGCCCGCGGATTTGATAAGATCATGGCTATTAGTAAAATAAGTATACTATGTTAACAAGAAACGGTGCTCAGTATATTTCTCCTATGTGCTTCTCCTTCCGGTGAACGCGTCCATTGCAGGAATATGTCGCAACCGCCTTCACGGGTCGGCAGCCGACTTCCATCGCAGGTAGGTGGCGACCTGAAGATCCCCAATTTAGGACCAAACGCCACTAAGGAACAGCTCAATGCATATATGCTGCACGCAAAGAGGGAGAGCATGATTTCTACCGCAGCAACCATGAGAGTCCTCAACGTCCTACGTCACTGGGTACGCTATAATCCATTAACACACTTGGCACTTTGAGTAGAGAGTGTGCCATACAGATATAGGTTTGAAAGCACAGTTGCGTGCGGGCCGACACGTACAGTGGAAGATAGGACATGAAAATTTTAATAATGCAACAAACAAATGCTTGAAACACGACTGAATAAATGTACCTAAAGAAAAACAATACTCTTACATTAATTGTTTCTAATGTGATTATTTTAGAACTATCCTGTAATGCGTCAAAATCAGCAAGACGCAATCGAAAACACAATTTGACCATGTTGTAATTCTTACATGTATAAATCTGCTACTAATATGTTTATTAAGGTATAGTACTTGAATAATGTAAAAATAAGCACTAGATAATACCAGTTTAAAAAAATGTATCACAAGCTCTGCTTCGTAGGATTTGATTTACAACTAATATTTTCTGAAGTTATTGGCAACGGCAAAATAGAATTTATCAGAAACGCCTTGCTCTCAAATAGGATTTTACATGTACATACTCTTACCTCTTGTAAGAATGATTCACTAACTTGCGCCATGGTGTTCCATTGGCAAAAACAGACGTGTACCTTCTGTTCACTTGGCTAATTTCTTAAGCAGCGCATAGCTGCTTTGGAGAATTGCTCACCGTAACTGGACTCTTTATGTTACAGACGACAATCCTTGAGCGTCCTCAGCCCTGAACAACAGCTGAAAACACTTCCAGCTATTGAAAATTATCAATAGGCTTTAAGAACTTATCTAGACTCTGATGAGATACATCTCACTTGATGTTTCGCAAGAAACACACAAAAGGAATGGATTCTGGACTAAGTATACCATTACATGCATGACTCGTATTTTTACAACGAACCGAGACCAAAATACGTTCCTGAGCATGTTGTATTTACATCGACATGTACACCTACCCTTCAATACACACTTGCGTTTCCTCTACGATGATAATGATGATGATGATGACGACAGGGTATGCAGACATCCTGCCAGCGCTTTTGTTTTATTTTTCTTCTCTTCTAATTAATGTTAGCCTGATCAGCGGTACTCGTGTCCTATAGGGCGCTTATTGAACTACGGTTCTGTGGATTCTATGGACAGTCTTCGGTCACGGAGAGTGTCACAGACTGGAATCGCAAGCAGGAACAGGCTTAGGTCTTTGGGGGGCCTTAAAATCCGTCCCACGTCCTCCGCTGCTATATACCTACTACATTGGAGGGAGGCGTAACTCTACCAACTGGACCTGTTGGTTATGAGGACTTCGTTATATCTCGACGCAGTATCTGGACTATATAACAATATCTGGACAGACGCGGGACGCATTTCACTCGAGCTTTCTTGGTAGTCGTCATTGCGGATACGTCGTAACAAGGATCCTTTGCTGCCTTCACCAGACCGGCCTAGTAACCGCATCGACTAGCTCCTACCGTCTGATTGCTGTTGGCCACGTATCCGAGCAGTATAACCGTTGAGACGTGACCACGACTGCTATCACAAGCCTCCCTTTCCAAGCGAATCTATCGGGTGGCCGATAGTTCTATTTATTGGCATGATGCTGCTGTGGCTAGCCACTAGCTTTCTCTAGCAGGCCACGCCTGCAATGTCACGTAACTACGCTTGCTTGAAGGCCAAGAGGAACCTAGATCGGTGTGACATATACTCGAAGATACGTATGGGACTCCATGTGCCGATGAAACACTATTTATTGCCTACCCTAATTCAATTGTTAGGTCATACCTAATGGTTCTTGGCTTTCGCACTGGTCTGTCTGCACGATGCGTTTACAGGTGTCGAAACATTCCCAGGACTTCGAAAACGATGAACGATTGCACCAAATGACAACAGAGTTCCTCGATGAGTTGGTGCACAACATGAGCCTACTTCCAGCCGAACATAAGGCTGCAGCTCAGCTACTACAAATGATGAACAATACCAAAAAAGATGAAAATCAAGCCGATGTCGATCTGGATATCCTGCTCGCGCCTCATATGGTAAGTGTATTACAATTTTCATTTTTATACACACAAAAAATAGGATATTCCCTAGAAAATAAAATATCGCCTAGGTACGTTTAGTTGGATCGCAGTACGATACAGGGTGGCACCTGTCCCGTTTCTCGTCCCGTAATCGCGGACCCCGGCGATCCAAAGACTCCGTGAGGCTGCTAGCTACACGTCGACGGAGCGGCGTGTTCGAGTATAATACCCGACTTGCCATAAGATCAAGCAAGGCAAAAGAAGCAAACAAGAATCTTCTGCTTGTTTTCTCTTGCGGCAAAGGAAAAGGATGTAACATTCGACTGAAGGAAGCATGGAAATGCGAAACGCTGGGGAAAGATGCGACCAGTCAAAGAATCGAAGCAACGAGACGTGCACAGAACCTCAAACGCTACCTTTAAGTTCTGTGCAGAACGAAAGCAGACGAACCTTTTCTGTTGGGTTGAGGCTGCTGACACTACGAGAGGTATGGCGCCCGCTAAAACAGCCTCCCCGACCCAGTGCCCCCTCCTGCCGTGGTCGCCCTACCACGCCAACAACCAACTAGCGTACACGGGGCTTTCATCACGCGGGAACGGGATAGTTTTCGTTCGTTGCCATTAACAAACCCAATGTTCAGGCTCCTGGGAGAGGAGCGAACAAAACAGTGGGTTTGCCTGAATTTGTGGTTGCTACTATCATCGATTTTTATTCTTTTACGATTTCAGACGCCGAGCAAAGAGAACGTTGAAAGCCTCTCAGCCTTAGAAATTGCCGAGGGAATGACCTATCTCGACCATAAGATATTCATCAATATTCGAAGCGAGTAAGTACTCAAAACAGCATATATATTCATTTTCATCGTTACCTCATAATCCTTTTTCCTTGTCTTTCGTCAGCAAAAACAGGTTCTAAATTAGGAATTTACAAAGTTTTTTTTTTCGTAACTGTTCTTCGTCGCTATACATTGGAATCACATTTTAATAGTTTTTTTTTTTAGTTTCAAAAACCAACTAAATCACAGTATATTGAGCAACACTATCCTATTTAGGGTAAAAATCATTACAATCCTGAACGTACGAATCTCGCAAGATAGCTGATGTTAATTAGCTCGCTTCGCACGGGTCCTCAACAATGTCATATGGTTTACAGCGAGTGTTTTGTAACAGAAAAAATTAACGATCAAACAATTCCATCAAGATACTTATAGTTGTCACTAACTATAACTTTTAAGGGCAAGTATAAATGATCAAGCAATAAGTTGATAATACACTACTCTAAGCACCATCGGTACAGCCTGTACGGTAACAGCAGTAGCGAAGCAGGTTCATGTACGTTACTTAATACTATCTGACTATTTTTCCTAATCCATTCGTGCTTTTGCCCTATATTCTAATCCAAAGAAGGTTTAGGCCTGTTATGTCCAAACCTGAATTTGTTGGCCTTGTTGTGCTCCTTTATCCAGGTTACGTGCTGGTCATTAGTCAGATGCACTTCCCTTATCCAGCCAGCCTCAATAAATTCCCTGCGTCGTCGGACTCACTCACTTTTCTATGTTGCAGTGTTATCCTATTACGCTGTAACAGCAGTTAGGTCATATTGTGTTTTCGATAGACGCCCGTTATTGTGACATCAATATATTATCTAATACTGTATTAGCTGGATAGGATTGATGATACTATCAACATCTGCCCTGTAGCGTTTTGTATATCGATTGATTTACGAGAGAAAAAAAAAAAAAGGCAAATTGTATACATTTCAGTAGAGTAACTATGAAGATCGTGACTGCTAAAGACAATCGTGTCTCATATACAGAATGATATTATATATGAAGACACTCAGTCATAATTTTTAATAAATCACACAGGTAGTACAAGAGAAGCGTTTGAGTTTCGTTTTGAGCGAGTTCTGGGTTGACTTCATCTGGTCAAGCGTTTTGTAAAAGAGTGTTCTATTTTCGTAGTACCTCAGTGATTTCGAATACTTCCATATCGAACACCTTTGAATACAATTAACCCGACGAAGCATGGACGCAGCGAGTGTTGTTTTTTTTTTTTTTTTTTTCATTTTTGATGGGTATCATTTGCACATGGACATCATCAGCACTATTTTAGCAAATTTTACTTAAATTGCTTGTTTGAGACAATTTCAATAGCTCACTACAGTGTCCTACTCGTCATTGAGTCTTGCTGTAGTTACTGCATGTTTTGTATCAATTGTACCAGCCTTTATTCGCAAGGCAAATGGAATCCCTTCCGATTTTGTGCTTATATAATGTTGAGCTTAAGAAACGTGTATGTCTTATAAGTTCGCAACCAGTTTGGTTTGCTCAGTTTAGGTTAGTGCCTACAAAAAAGCTTGTCTATTTACATATTTTAGCAAAGAAACCTGATTTTTCGTATACATCTTTTCGCCCACTTTTTCTTCTACGAACGTAGCCTACACGAAAAAAATAACGGAACCCATAAAAGGGGTTAATGAGATGGTCACGTATGAAGGTACAAGTTCTTACTCTCCTAGGCAAAAATCTAGCAATGTCATTATTAACTTCCCCATACTGCAATTTATTTCTACCAATAATCACATCTAAGATATCATTCGTGCGTAACGTGAACACATTTCTTTTCTCTTTTCCCCTTTTATTTGTACTTTCCGTAGGGAATTTCTTGGGCAGGCGTGGATGAAGCCCGAGAAGGCCACGAAGGCCGGCCATATTTTGCTCATGACGCGACGCTTTAACGACGTCAGTCGGTTGGTGGTTAGCGAGATCATGCGCTGCCCCGAGATGTCAAAACGCGTTGCCATCATCGAGAAGTGGGCGGCGGTCGCTGATATTTGCCGCTGCTTGCATAACCTAAACGGCGTGCTTCAGATCTGTGCCGCCTTCATGAATTCATCTGTATTTCGCCTCAAGAAAACCTGGGAACGAGTATCCAAGACTACAAAGCAAACCATAGACAAACTCCAAACGCTCGTGTCGGCGGACGGGCGATTCCGAAACATGCGAGACGCTCTTCACCGTTGTGACCCGCCCTGTATTCCTTATTTAGGTTAGCGTCATCTAACTCTAGGTTACGTCACCCTTCTGTTTTGTTCAACTGTTGTTGAACATGATGATAAATAAGGATGAGTTCAGGAGTTATATTTTTTTTTTGTAAGATTATCGGGTTATTTTCGCATACCGCTAGGAATAGAAATGGTAGAAGAAGAATAATCACTAGTACGTCGGCTAGATTCTTATCTTGAAGAGAAAAAAATCAACAGTTACTCATTTCTATAAAGCTATTTTCTCCGTGGAATTCAAGTCAATTTCAACGAACTTTAGAATACATAAGGCCAGAATCTTCATCAGGAACAGCAGATCACTCGCACAGGAATAAAAAGGATGACATTTTTGATAGGGTTCTTGTTCTTTGGTACCGTTGTTCTAATTTGTGGGCCGATGCTTAGCTATAGTTATTAGTTGAGTAGACCTTACCTTGCCGTGGCCTTTACTTCTTCTTTATTTTCTGCACAACAATGTTTGAAGTAATTTCTCCCTTTTCAGAAATTGTCCATCCTAGCTCTACATCCGTATTATTATATTGTAATACGTCCAACGATTGCAGGCATGTACCTGACGGATCTCTCATTCATCGAGGAAGGCACCCCGAACTTCACGGACGAAGGGCTGCTTAATTTCTCAAAGATGCGGATGATTGCTCACGTTATTCGCGAAATCCGACATTTCCAGCAGACGCCATACAAGATCGAACAGATACCGAAAGTGTTCAACTACTTGCTAGACCCAGGCAGACTAATGCCCGACGAAGAACTATACCGGCTCTCTCTTTGTCTTGAACCGCGGCTGTCTAGGTTAGGCACAAAATTACCTACGACGTCGCAACCATCCTCCACACAGAATACGCAATTCACGACGACGACCACCACCACGTACACATCCTCCCTTTCGCCAACACATCACCACAGCCACTGAGAGGTCCTGAAGGCCCGTTAGGACACGGACTAACAGACAAACTGCCACCCATTGCAAATATTCGAATGGGAGGACAGCCAGACCCCGGCTAGGTTTGACTATGCTCTCGGAAAGACACAGAATATATAATACATTGCCTAGTATACATATAATAATGAATGCTATGAGTTAACTCTATTTTTGCCAGCGTCGCAATGTTCTATTGACACCGTAACCATATAACCACAAAGTCAACTCGAGAAGCATCTGTACACCAGTTCCACGCGTCGGCAAGCTGTTTCCCGCCTTGTCCTTACCAACGGCTCCTTAGTCAATTTAAATTTAGTCAGTTTAACACGTCACATCTGTACGCCCGTGCGCGTGAATACGCTACCACATCAGCCACACAGGAGCCGCAACCGCTACATGCCAAACGAACAAAATCATCATCAATCCCGACTTACTAAGTTACATGGTATTTCAGCCGTTGTCTACGGGTTAAGTTAATCAGCTGATTATAAACATAAGAAGTATGTTCATGTTTCAATCAGCGTTCTTTAGTAAAGTATGTGCCGTATGCTTGGTTCGTCGCACCTGACTCTCATGCATCGTCCTATAGCTGTTTCTGTCTCCCTATAGCAATCCATACTACTACTATACAACCATTATATGAGCTGCTGCTAGATAAATCGTAGTGCTCTCTTGTATGGAACATATGCGATGCGTAACAGCATGCTAGCTTCGTGCTTTCCGGGCTACCAGCCAGCTGTGCTTTGTTTCAGCGCCGTTGTCTCGGCCTCCCTCCGGCGTTGCGGACTCTTCACATAATAACCGCTTCTTACTGAACGATAAGGACGCAATTGACAACTACATCGAAACAAAAGAAGAAAAACGGCTGAATAATATCTGCTATCGACTAGACACATATGCTTAGGTGCGCATCAAGTCATTAAATAGCCAATATGACGATTAAGTTCGGAGAGAGATAGGGAAACGTAAATAAAGGCTGTCTTTTGGGACTTTTAAATGATCACTAATCGATACATGTTCGCGTATCTGCACTTAAGCCAAATTTTAAAGATCTCTTCTAAAGCGCTCAATATCGGTATATCTCGGATCAGTTTGAAGAGCCGCAGTCTCGTGCGAAGACGCCGCGTGACTAGGGCGTCTGCCCCTTGCCCTCCACAGTGCCGTGTATATTCACATGGAAATAATTATGTGACAAGTTATCCTGAGTTTACAAACAACCCAATCAGATTTTTTCACAAACGCTATAACCAGATCAAGAAACAATTGAATTAGGTAACTAACGATAATTGGCCATGCTATGTATCGACTACAGCTTTTTTAAATGAAATGAACTTCTCAGATGGATAATTCCTTATAACAATGTTCGTTCTGTGTAATTTATCGAATATCTAATGCGCTAAGCCGGTTACATCTCTCACTGAATTAGAGATCATCAATTATGAGGGTGTTTCGAAGTGAGAGAAATATCTGACTAAATCTCTAGTTCTGATAACGTAGTAGTCCAATCTGAGACCGACTATTTACCACACCCTTTGAGGCACAATTTCGTCCATTCTGGAAAGAAAGAACAAAAGTGGATAGCCCTTAGCTTCCGGCAGGCGTTAGCGTCCGCCAAGTTAAACACCCTTTCCCCTTTGCCATGGCGAGATCGAACATCGGCAAGAAGCAGGTGTAAAAGACAACGTACGGAGAAAAACTAGCAGATCCTCGTGGCACAGCAGTGCTGCTTAACAGGTGAATTACGACGCTTCTTATAAATAGCGTGCGTCGGTATTACTTGCAATCGGAAATGATCAACGCCATTATGGAAATATGGAGGTAAAGGTAAGCGGAAGAGATCACCACAGTACATTGTAGCACATTTCTAGGTTTTATAATAATGGCAACCTACATATATATATACGAAGTATTGAAGACTGTTTGGCTTCAGTCACACCGATAACTTCAACAACAACAACAATAATAATATGCAGTTAATAAACAATCAATGTTACATGTATGTATCAGTATTAATGTAAACAACAATCTCATAATGTGTTCATGTGCAGCGGTAATAACGGTCAGGCTCCGTTGAACAGGAAGCAGATACACTATACCACTATTATGTACACACATGATTCAAATGAAAAAAACAACCCGCATCGAATTATATATATATATATATATATATATATATTCAGCTGCTTTGGGCTTTTGTAGCATACGATTATAGGTAGCAAAAATGTAAGCATTATTGAGCTTATAATAGTAATACTAAAAGTAATAAAATGATGCATCACGAACGATTATAGAGGAAGCGCGTTGTTAGACTCAAACGTAAGTAACACATAATTTTTGTAGCTAAGATTGTAACTAAGTACAGTTAACTTGTACTAGCCAGGTACGATGAGTGGTAACCAGTTCGCTTTTCCTCTTCTATTACTAGATAAGTATGAAACGTTGATGTACATGGTCATGTGCGGTACATGACCAGCATATATCAAATAGCCGATCTTAAAAACGCCAGAACATAACTCAACGAACGATTCCAGAATCAATGTGAGAAATAAAAGAATCATGGGCGTCCTATTCAACATCATAATGTCCCCTATACATACGAGCTACCACATGCTATTGCTACACCCTATTGGTATCGACAAATCATAATCGTGGCATCAAAATTGTCTGAGTGAACAGTTGCGCCCTGCAGCATAGATAGCATCAAGCAGAGCAGCATCGGGTATTTACTGCCGACTGCAAATGACAGCATCAAAAACAACAAAAAAATCGGTCGACAATAATAACAATGGCAATTTTCTTGATGCTACTTGTGAAAAACTCTTCTGGTCATGTTTAGTTTCTGATTTGTATGGCTTTCCCTACGAAAGGCCTTTGCCGTACTCATCGTGTGTTGTCGACTGTTCGTTTGGGCAATTCCAATAGCAGCGTTGATAAAAAGTGGAAAAGAAGAGATTTGACAGGGATACGCTTAGCCGTAGAAGATATTGCCAATATTCGATACTGTCACGACAGACAAGTCTAGCCATAAACTAATCATGTGTGACCAAAACCATTGGCAATTCTTCTTGTTCTTCCTCCGTTGCTTCTTAGACAAAAAGCGTGACGCTTCGAAGCGAAGTTGACGCCTTTGTGCCTATTTCTCCGACAGGACCTTCATGTCCCACCCGCCTAGGACACTCCAATTTGGCCACTTATCCATATTGCTTCATACATTGCCATGAATCGCACCGTATCATATGCCCGTCGAGTTCGCGTAAAACATTTTTGGGAAGTGCTTAACACCGTATTGTACAGACGCGAGCTGCTATTTAGCAACAGCAGACGCTTTAGAGGTCATTGCCGAAAGGATCGATTACCTATCGTGTAGCACCCGTATCTAGCCAAGTGAACTCCATATCAAGCATCATACAATTCATTTAGGCTAAATAGCACATAAAAAAAAAAAGCTAACGTTTTGGTTGATGCATCGATTAAGCCTAAAACCGCTCACCATAATACTATAATTACTGTCCAAAGAGATAACCGTAAATAGCTGAAAAAAATATTATTTTTTTATTAAGTTATGTTTAAGGTTCGATTTCTGATGGTCGGAAATGGAAAGTTACAAGGCACAGCCAAACGGGAACTTTTTTCTGTTTTGGAAAATATAGATTCCAATTTTGATGAGTGTAGAATGAACATTACGCTATTTATACGAGCATCACGGAGCAAGATACCTTGTTGGGTCAAGAATACCGATAGGCATCGACAGTGCAGTAGTTGTCAGTCACTAATCGTTGTACGCACGCACGCACGTACGTACGTACGTACGTACGTACATACATACATACGCGCCTAAAACGAGCGTTATATCCACCTACAATGGAAAATGGATAAAAAAGAAAAATGCCATAGAAAGGACGAGAAAGGGTTCTCGAAAAAAATCGAATAATATTATAAAATAGTCAATCGCGCGAGGAGACCGTCGCATAAAATGTATAGTGTTTTGGCTCCGTCTCTCCGCCTTGCCTTGTTCCGCTTTAAGTTCGACTGAACATGAAGACGCTGATAGCAGCACGATACCATTGCAACGATACACGAAGTGAAGCATTACAAAGAATACCACAGACGACGGCATAAAAAATAATCGTCACATTGTGAAATAAAAATCGAAAATTGTGCCGCCTTCGTGAAGCCACGACAAGCTTCCCGTGAATACACAGAAAGTAACCGATCTCGGTATGTCGATGGGGCTCAACATTTGTTGTTTTGCAGCATCGTCGTAGTATGACTAGGTGGTGTTGTATCAATAGCGAAACAGTAAAGAGTTTGCTCGATCGCGTATTTGGCTTGCACCATTCGTTTTTTCCGTTAATTATTTTACGAGCTATGCCCTTCTCTGAAGGGAATAGTAATGATCACAAGCCTACGATAAAATACACGTAAGATTAGTGCCTACAATTCAGAGTTGTGGGTGTTCACTTTGCTTAAACCTATAAATAAATCTATACCTTGCTCCTTTTAGCTAAGTACACACACCGTATTTAGATTTAGACGTGTGTTTTCGTAGTCCTTTAAGCCTTCTTGATAGCACGATCCAATGTAATATAATTGCGATGATTTTGACAGCCTGGTCCCATCCTTTGAGGGAACCTTCACAGGCGTTCATTGATGGATGGATTGATTGATGCGTTTCGTAGATAGATTCGCTTCTCGGTCAAGGCTCCATCTCATGTCAACTATACATACTACCGGGCCTGGGTGTGCATGACTGTGTGTAGAGTAGGTTTGCCTCCGACTTGCTATGATTACCAAAGGCATCACTCCATATTACTAAACTCTGTGGAACAACGTGAAGATTCGCATTAGCAGAATCTAAAGCGACGTCAGTGTATTTCACTGAGTTTTTGGGCTGGCCTCCATTTTCCCACTGCCAGATTTACTCAGTAAATTATCTGTTGAAATGGCACGACGGCGCATTATTTGGTTAATCCGCGGCTCGTGACTATGATTCCGACCTTACCTGACAACAAAGTTTGAATACAATGTCTCACTGAAACAAAGATCTTTTTTTATTTACAAGCGCCGCCGAATTTCGAATTGAAGCACAGCAGTAACGGTAACAGTAGCAAAAACAGCAATATCAACAACGATAGTATCATCAAAACCATACGGATGGCGAAACTCAGAAAAACAAAGTATCAACAAGTATATTATCGACAAAGATACGCGAACAGCAATTCTGTACTCCCGACAGTAAACAACGACGGCAACGCATATTGGGAAAAACTTTTATATCGTAACGGCCGGCCGGCAGTCTAACGGAGCTAGTGCCCGCCACTTCTATAAACCTCCGACAGTCGAAAAGAACAAGCGAGAATTTCTTGACATGCGGAACACTTAACGCTGGACAACAGCGCTCGACCATCCCACTGGCTATAGAGCAGGCGGCGATGACGGTCTCGGACAACGAAGCACGATATGAGCACGTAAAATGATAAGAAAAACGTTAACAGAGTATAAATTGAGACGGAATCTAGGACGGACATGACGAAGAGCTAAGAATCAGCACTGAAAAAGTATCCGGCCTCCCCACCGACGTTAACTCGATAGCATTGGGTCAGCTTTTTTGAATCCGCTCGCGACTGTCGCACAAACGATGGAGTAAATATATTGACTAAGAATCTAAATAGGATTTATGCATACAAAATAACAATGACAGTAAAAATAGCCCAATAGCAATGAAAACAGTTAGAAAAAGTGTCGTCAGATTTACTCTCGATAACGGTACACGGATTAAAGCAAATACCCTATGCGTGAATTTCGAATGATTTTTTAATATAGATATATGAATATCTACGTTATATACTTGGTATGCTGCGGGATGTTTTGCTACGTAAGTTGTGGAATAGAGGAACGAATTGATTCGTGCGCAGGGAAAGAGGTAGGGCAGCGTCGTTCCGTACGTACACACGTGCGTATTACTTCGTTGCCACGTCATTGTCTTGCCCAGTGGACAGTGGTGAAAGGCGGCGAGCGAACGGCCGGCATCGGGCAGTCACGGATTGATCGCTACTCTGCCGCTTGAGGATGAACTTGACTCGTCACACGAACAAACCACCGAACATCAGGACGTCAATCAACGAAGATTCCAGCACTAAGCTAGTACTACTACTGACTACTACAACCGTTAAAACTAATAGATAAAACACAGAAAATTAATTTTCTAACGTTACGACCGCCTGGCCGCTATTGACACGCATTCGCCCGCGGCCAAGTTCTCAAGTTAAGTCCTGATGAATGAACGATTGAAGAAAAAGCTAGGTGACATTTTGTGGGTCAAAGTGATAGCAGTTCGCGCAAGATCTCCGTATAGAAGTACAGGTTAACGATCATCCACTCTGAAACGTGCATGCGCAAAACGGACGAACCGTTCGGCACCTGTCTGCTCAGTGGACTCGTTCGTACGAAACAATTGGAAGCGGACCATATTGATGTAAAGTCCCCAAAAGCATATCCTACTAGATTAACTGGTGATTGTGGGTAGGGCAGTGATCGGCGACTGTATAGCTCTAAACGTAAAGCTCTTAAGCGTGACCGCGCATCAGACGTAAACAACCGGAGGACAGAGGCCGGCATCGTTCAAAAGGCAGAAGTTGAAACGTGCTAAAGTTTTCTTCCGGCAAATAGCCTCTAGTAGATTACCGCAGGTCTCATCGAAAGGATCAAGGGTCAAGATAGTAATCAGATAATACCGAATGTTAGTTTTTAGCTATGGCACAGAAAAAAGATATGTTTCTTTCTGTGAGAAGACACGCGTCGAGATAAGGAAGACATCATACGGTAATGACAGAAGGATAATAATAAGGACTATATTTGTAACAATGATAATAGTCAGAGGAAGATCGTCATGATTTCCATCATCTTCGTGAAGCAGTTGGATAGTTGTGCATGTCGTGTGATCGAGCTTTTCCGCTTCTAACCTAACCTTTTCAATGCGACGACACATCTAATTAACTACAACAGCAACCATACCGAAAATACGATACATTGAAATACTTTTGTTATTATGGAAATGTAAAAATGATCGTTACGATGTCAACACGATAAGAGCAGTAGATAATTCGAGTATGACTAGAACAAGTAAAATGCGTG